GATGCTCAAGACCCTTATGTCTTTTCAGGAGTCCCAAAAAACTGCACTTGTCGTTTCCTGATTGTTTTTAACATTGAGCGTCCAACGTGGGCTTCATCAAACACTACCTCATTTGACTTCTTTTCCTCCCACGATACTCTTAGCAGTCTCCTAATCCATCATCTCTGGTGAAATGGTGAAATGGTGAAATGGTATAGATTTAACGCCCCTATCAACACTATTTCCAGCGACACCCAAAAGGGTATAAGCGGCGGATAAAAGTAAAAGTCAAGATCAACACTATTAGGTCAATCATCCCATTTGCCAATAAAAACAACCAAAAAAAAAATACGACGAAAACAACATTAACTTTATAGTTTCGAATCATAAAAAAGCTTCCTCAGGTCTTTGAATTTGAAGTGGGCCTACTCCGCATTCCTCTCAGATCGCGACGAGTGTCGAGACAAAGTCGTGACGTGCACCCACGGCAAGCTGTGCCAGAATCTGGCCGGCAGTTACGCATGCACGTGCAGGAGGGGTCACCGCTTCGACCAGCGCAGAGCCAAGTGTGTGGAGCACGTGCCTCTGCCCGCTCACACGTACTCACGGCCGAGAACTGTGAAGGCAAAGAAGCACAGTGAGTCTTCAGCTGGTATTGTATACCCCTTTCAGCGGGTATTGTCTGTTGCCAATATTGCCGTTCTTTGGAAACAAAGGGTCCGTTTTTTGAGTGAGAACGTGATCAAATAAAAACTGAGCCGAAAGCTCCCTGGCTGCTTTGACGAAATATTTGATTGTTTTCATAGCCAAGATTTCCCCTTTTGCCTGAACTTTATTTAGACGTCCGGGATTTTCTACTCAAGCACGAAAATGAACTAAAAATACGTTCATTTAGAAATTTACAATCCTGATCACGCAGCGCTACTTTTTATAAAGTCTATTGGGGGTCATTAGAGTGTTTTTAAAAACAGAAAGAATCAAAGAAACGAACGAAGGGCATCCATTGGCGAACAGTAGTTTCCTGGTAGCCTCCGTTGAAATAAGACGCTTTCTGGATGTTGAAAGCTGAATGTGCATCAGTATTACACACAAAATTCGGGAGCTTTTTTAACGTGGGGTGGGGGGGGGGTTGTTATTTTGTTGTTTTATTTTCTAATTGCACATGTTTTGCGCCCCCGTCCACACAATTTAGATCATTTAGGAGGCGGGCTGTTTCTACCCTGCCAGTGAGGACCAACCCGGGCTGAGGGAGATATAACGTCCCAGCAGAGAGAAGGAGATGCAGGAATCGAACTTACGTCTTCTGCTTGCAACGGCTAAGCTCCCACATAACCATTACACAGCAGTCGCCAGTGAGAAGATACATCTTTATACATCTTTATTGTTCATATCCTGGCACATTGGTTAGGTGTTTTACTACGTACACACTTACACACATACACACACACACACACACACACACACACACACACACACACACACACACACACACGCATTTGCACGCACATA